AATGGACATAAATCTCAATCAAACATAAATAGAAACAAATACGTCAAATTCAAAATGTAACTTGAAAGGGAAAGAAAGGATGTGTTCTAGGGGGGGAAGAAGGCTGCATAGAAATCCTGAACTTTCTTTAGTGGGTTAGTTATTGGCAGTGGCATCAATTTTAAAATTATGAAACTGACCCACCAGTGTGGCTCAGTGGTTGAGCATCAAACTATGAGTCAGGAGGTACAGGATCAATCCCCAGTAGGGGACAAGCAAGAGGCAGACAATGAGTCTCCTTTATCATTGATGTTTTTCTCTCTCTCCATCTCCCTTCTTCTCTTAAAAATTTAAAAAAAAAAAATTTAAATTATGAAACTGTTGTCTGGAAATTGTTGTCTGGAAACTGTTGTATTGCAGTACAGAAGAAATGTGTAAATACAGGGGTGGGCAAATGTAGGTTTACTGTGCCATGTGACATTCTTTTGAGTTACTAAAGCTCTGGTAATAGCCACAGTCCACACGGGTGAGGGCAAAGAAAGTAAAAGGTGAGTCTGGAACATCTTCTGCCAGAAAGTGAGGGTGTGCTCGAAGGCAGGAGCTGTCTTCTCTACCTTGGACAATTTGAGCATCACAAAGAACAATGACCATAAGGAATTATAGCACAATGAATTAAAAAAAAAAAAAAAGAATCCATGAGTCCACTGTAGTACTCACAAAAGTAGCGTAGGAAGAAGGAAAGGCCTTCTTTACAAAGGAATGCCAACTAATAAATACAGGGAAAATAACAGAATCTTAAAAATCAGCCTTTTTCATTCCTGACATGATAACAAATCCAGGCAGGAGTCATCAACCGATGACCCTACAGGTGTTTCGGAAGAGGACACTCACAGGGACTGGCACTAACTGCCTGGGGAAAGTGCTGGAAAGAGGTGTGTGGACAGCCCGTACCCTCCCAGTCAAACCTACCATGGCCAACAGTGGGCGAACCCGCAGTTGGAAATACCTGTCACCTGGGTTGAAATCCTGCCAAACTGGTTTCACTGAGCCTAATCAGGAGGAAACACACAAAAGCAGAGTGGGGGGCAGTCTCCAAGGCAACCAGCCTGGGCTCTCCAAAGGGGAGGAATGAAAAGGAGACAGCAAACAGTGGAGAGGGCTGTTCCAGATTTTGTCAGATAAGAGAGGCACACAACCCAATGCGATGTGGGTAAGCTCCGATTGGACACCGGACCTCTAAATGTTTTAATAACCCTTAAAGTCATGTGGGAACGATTAGGGAAATTTACGTATAGACGGTACAGTAGAGGAGTGAATGTCCCCTTGCTCAGGTATGCTAACATAGCGTGCTTGTGTAGGAGAATATTCTCATTCTTCGAAGACGGCTGCTGAAGTACTTAGGGGTGAGTGTCATGGGAACTGTGCCTTATTCCAAACGGCTCAGGAAAAGGAGTGAGACAGGACACAGACGTGGCAGAATTTGGTTAACAAATTCACGAAGGAGTGAGCCTGTTCACGGAACTCTTCTTTCAACCTTTCTGTATTAATACATTTGAGAATTTTCAAAATAAAACCTTGAGGACAGCCAATAGCTCTGATGCTTCAGAGCTCAAAAGAAGAAAAACCTTTAAAAATCCTTCCTGCGAGTTGCTTTGCAGGAAGGCCGAAGTGCCCAGGTGCAAGGTACCATCCAGGTCTCCAGCACAGACAACAGGTAGTGACCACGCTGCCATCTGCTGAGGAGGCTAACACGGGAGAAGGAGCCCGTTTCTGAGGGCGAAGAGGGAGGAGAACACTGGATCTGGGCATCCAGAATCCCAAAGCCTACACCAGCCCTGGGCTATGGGCCCCTGATGAGAAGACAGACCGCAGAGTGTAAGATGCAGATAGCACTAGGGTGATGGATAGAGGAAAAGGAGACCATGAAGGAACCTGGAAAGAAACAGCCGGAGGGTGTGGGTGCCTACGTGACAGCCCTGCATCAGCTCAGGACATGAAGGTGGGGTGTCGAGAGGGGGGCCTGCTTGACATCAAGGCAAGTCCAAGAACCAAGAGATAAGAGATCAAAGGCTCTAAAAGCAGGCCCACACCGAATCTTAAAATCAAGAGAGATGAAGGATGATCATCGTACCAGGGACATTTATCACTCAGCAGAAGCCAGTGATCGACGATCCTGCAGAGATGAGAGCAGAGCTAGGAGACGGGGGAAAAGAGGAAACCCCGCTGGCCACCTCACCGAGCAGAATCAATTCATCAGAACGAGCTGGCCACCTGTCACGTTTGAGAAATGGCCCCACTTAATCAGGTTTTTAGCTGGCCATCCCTGTGCCTGGAGCCATCCAGACCTGGGACGGCAGAAAATAGCCCTTCGTGCCTGCCTCCTCCAGTTACCGGGTACTGACCACTGCAACTGGAAAGCTGAGAACTTTTCATCATCTAACACATTTGCGAAACTCATTGGCTTTAACAAATTGTTCCCCAAACACCTGGCCTGCGCGCTCTCCTCCAACCGGCTTGTGCTGTATCATATTCAGAAAGTGCCGAGCAGCTCTCACTCGCCTGGAGAAACAGCCATCAGCTGTCAGAAAAGCTAAAACCCCTCCTGGCTCTGGTGAAACGTTCACTTCGGGGAAACGCGCAAGCCAATTTGGTCCGATTTAATAAGTTTTAACAAAATCCAGGTGAAGAAATGTATCTGGAAAAAAGCAGAAGAATCTTACAAGCAGCTCTGAGAAACGATTCTCTCAGGAGAGGCGGGGGAGGGAAGGATGTGTAAGCATGTATACCATGGTGGAAGGCAATTCTGAAGCTGAATTTCACAAACGGGAACTGGCGTGTAACCGTGACCTAATGCAGTGATTTCCAAACATCATGAGATCATGTGGCCTTCCTGCCCGTCCCCCCTGTGGCTTGGAACCCGCAGGCTTTGTCCTAGCGGTAATCAGGTTTAAAGCCCATCAAACCGGAGCCCTCCCCACAGGCCACAGACAACCAACCACCCTGCAGAGCCCACTTTTAAAATATCCAGTCTGTATTATCCTGATTGTGAGACATGAGGGACACGATCCTTCAAGTTTAAGAGAAATCGCTCCTTATTCTGGCAGGGCCCACTCCACTTTATGTGCAGAGGTGCACGGCCGTGTCTGCATGGAACATGTGTGAGTACTCAGAACCAGAGGCGGGCTTTTTATAGAACCCCCGTGTTCCCACATTGGCTTTGGGCCTGAAACCCTAAGCTGCAGCATGACAGGAACCGGCACTGGGTCTTCGCTAACAGGAAGTGCCTTCTTGAGCCTCCGGAGATGAGAGCTGGAAAGGGAGTGGTCCCCACTGTGGGAGCACCCCAAGGACGGAACCAGACAGCTGATCCCTGGCTCACCCACCCGGGCAGCTCTGCCCCGATCCTCCTGCCACCCCAAAAGAGCTCTGTCCCAACACCCAACACAGTAGGCACCCAGGTGACTAAGCAGGCGTACAAGTGATGGTGCTTGGAGCCCATTGTCCGAGCTGAAGACATACATTCGTTCCTTAAAAGGAAGTTCTAGAAGTCCAGGGCTAAAACCCAACCCAAGTAGTAGAAAATGGATCTTGAATAAGAGCAAGCTAATGGCTGTGGCTTTAAAGAATCTGTAGATGTTCTATGATAAGCCTACCACTGCTGGGCCGGTGTGGCTCAGTGGTTGTGTATTGACCTATAAACCAAGAGCTCAGGGTTCCACTCCTGGTCAGAGCACATGCCCAGATTGCGGGCTCGATCCCCAGTGGGAGTTATGCAGGACGTAGCTGATCAATGATTCTCATCATTGATGTTACTCTCTCCCTCTTCCTCTCTGAAAAACAATACAAATATTTTTCCTACATTTATCAAGCCCGCCATCAAACAGCTGTGAAAATTAGCACAGCATTTCCTGGATGGGCTTCCTCCGAGGGTGGGTCCACCCCAGAACCTGCGGTGGAGGACCCCTGCTTCTCACAGACATGTCAGCCAACACGGATCCACGAGGGACGCGCTCTGTCCGTGCTCCTTCCACAGGTGAGATGAGGGAATGGGACGGCCAACCTTTTGGCGAGCGATTCAAGTCAACAGGAAAGGGGGCCTGTCCGTCGATTCACATGTGGGCCGTGTGCAGAGCCTCCTAGTCGTGGGCCCCGCATCTCCCAAAAGAAAGAACAAACCCCGAGGGAAGTTCGACACATCTTTTATGTACAAACGGTCAATGGTACAGATGGAGTTACTTTTTATAAATATCTGCAGCAAATCCTCTACAAAAAGCGGTGCGTAAAAACTACCTCTCATCCCCAAAGTGTTAACTGCAGGACAGCCTATTCTTAGCCAAACACTTGTGGGGCCTCCAGGGAAGGACAAGAGCCTCCGGGACCAGGCAAGGGCCTTCCCATCTCCCTGGAGAGCCGAGGTGACGCGAAGGTCATCTGCAGCCCAGGACCTGGGAGCGATTCAACTCTTTCTTCCCAAGGCTTCGGTCTTCTTTGTCAGGCTGCTGATTAGGCGGCCTCTCTGTTTCCTGGCCGTGGCCCAGAGGGAGGGAGGGAGGAAAGGAAACTACAATAGTGTGAGGACGTAAAAAACTCTGGGTATTTTGATTTAAAAAAAAAAAAAAAAAAAAAAAAAACACAAAAAAATACTTGGTAATCAATGTAACCCTGTGAAACCAATGGATCAGACTCACCAGAGGGAAACGTGGGATTCAGCATTCGGGGATCTACAGACAAGCATTTTTTTTTTTTTTAAAAGAAAGATAATTACTTAGCACCAATTTCTCCCTCTCTGGTGATTTTCCCTTTTCCTTCACGCCCCTGGCTGTGATCAACGCAGTCGGAGCAGGCTCAGGGCGCTTTCATCAGTAACACAGCCGGGAGGGCGGGCGGGTGGGCGGTCACACACCACGGAGCCCGCAGTGCCCACACCAGGACGTGGCTTCTCGCTGCCCTGGCTCCGGGGGCATCGGCGCCCCACAGGCTCCTCCTGGACTTGCCATGCGGCGCTCCAGGCCCACGGGGCTTCATTCAAAGCGACGCAGGTGGTTGTACAGCGACTGGACGTAGGTGAAGACACACATGGGGTCTGGCTTGCGGCCCATCACCATCATATCCTCCACCTCGATCAGGCGCTCGCAGTTGGCCAGGTTCCTGAAACACAGAAGCCCCATCAGAAGGCAGGTCCCGGTCCTCAGTCCCTGGTCCCGGTCCTCGGTCCTGGACAGTCACCCACCCCAGTGGTCAGCCCGCAGGAGAGCGGAACCCAGCCTGGAGCGGGACCCCCTCGGGAGAACCTGGGTGGTCACTTCAGCTAACGCAGTGTTTCCCCAACTCCCACATTCGGGAAGCAGCCGTGCAACTCAGATTCTCACTTAAGCAGACTTACATCCATTTTTGGTTAAATTAAATTTCACTGAATTTAACTTTAAAAAAAATGTCTCTGTATCTCAGCAGTCTATGGAAAATCAGCATAAACGATAAAAATAAATGCAGGGAACGTCCTTGTTGAACCATGTGGACAGGTTCTGCAACTTTTGCAGCAGAGTGCATCACGAAACCGATTTTACCGAAGGCTGACGGCTATCCACAGGAGTCCCTCCCCAAGCATGTCAAACTCACTGGCTCCGAGCGAGGCCCGCTGGCCTCGAGTTTGACATGGTTGGTCTACACCATCTCATCAATGTGATACCCAAACAACCACATTGAATGAGACATTATTCAAGGGCCTGCTGTCAAAAGAGCAAAGTAAAAACAAATTCACCCCCGGCCTCCCGAAACAGTGATTCTAAACTTATTCTCACCGTGACCCATGGTTAGAGAGAGATTTTTCATCATAATTCAGCACACACACACACATATAGATATATAGGGGAAATAACATTTTACAAAAATACCCTACTACCCATATTTTCTCTATAATATTTCATCTATAATATTTCATCTTTATTTCTCCCCCCCTCCTTTTTTTTTTTAAATGCTGGTTATGAGTCACTACATGGAGTTCACTACCTACTGATGGGTTACAATTCAAAGTTTCAAACATTTTCCTAAAACCACCTTGCCTCCCCTCCCCCAGGCCCTGCGCCTCATGCAATGGGAGACACTGGTTTAATTTTGGCTCCTGGCACAGATGCGTGTGGGAACTGGCGCCTTCCGCTGGGCTGTAACGGAAGCCATCCACTCCGCCATCCCTGCTGGGAGGCGGCTGAAGGCCTCGGCTCCATGGAGGTGGGACAGTGAGAATCCATAGTTCAGGAATGTCGCATTGTGCACCTCAGCAATTTTGTTGATTTTTTACAGAGAGGAAGGGAGAGGAATAGAGAATTAGAAACATCAATGAGAGAGAAACATCAATCAGCTGCCTCCTACTGAGGATATGCCTGCAACCAACGTACATGCCCTTGACCGAATGGAACTGGGACCCTTCAGTCCGCAGGCTGACGCTCTATCCACTGAGCCAAACCGGCTAGGGCAGCCCTGAGTCTTTAAATGGCGCCCTCTGGAATGCCGAGCGACGCTTCCCCTGGGCACCAATGCGGCTGGCCTGGCGGCACCGGGCAGACCCAAAAGGGCAAAGACAGCTGCACTTGGTCCAATCATCAGTGTCCTTCCTTCAACACCTGTGGGCACTCCTGTAGTTCCAGGGGTCCCAGGTCTTCCTCGCCCACATCGCCGAGTGCATGGCCATCAGGGTTCCCATCCCACCTCCATCCTTTAACTACTAGCCATAGGACTGTGGGCAAGAGCCTCAAAGTCTCTGCGCCTCAGTTTCCCCATCTGGAATAACAGCCACTTCACTGGGTGGTGTGAGGATTAATGAGCAAATCCACGCACCCAAGATGGAACGGTGTCTGGCACATGGAAAGAGCTCAATAAACAGCAGAAAATCGCCCTCCTGCCCCCGCTCCCTCTCCCAGTGGGCTCCCTCCTGCTCCTTTTTGGGAGGTTGTGCGTGTGTCCTCAAGTGCCTTGTAGCCCCGAGCTGTGACCCCGCTCCCGTGGCTCACGCAGCACTTTCCCCCAGTCCCCACCGACCCTGGGCTTGCGTACTCCAAAGACAAGGCCCCTGACATTAGCACAGGGCCCTGCTTCGTGGGGCTGGCCAGACGCCAGGCCTCCTATCAGAAACCAAATGTCAAGGCGAAATGGAGACATCTGTCCCAGATCCCATTGCCGCCTCCCCCCTGGCTCTGGAGCGGCAGCCTGTAAGAGAATCCAGCAGCTTTGTGGGGTGGCAAGTGGTTTGGCCCAATGAGCGGGCACCCTTGCTCCCCAGGTCGGGCCAGGCAGGGCTCGGTGTCAGGAAAGTCGGCGCTCTGACAAGGGCAGGCATGCAAAGGTGCTTTGTCCGCGGTCAAGGTCTGAAAATCGGGAGTTCTCCTGAGGGTTCCCGGGGACCTGAGTTCACCTTCCTGGGGTATCGCGTAGCATCTGGCGCCCTCCTCCTCACCTGCAGCCCAGGAGAGCACCTGCCCTCCCCCTGCCCTCCCGGGGCTGCTGCCAGAGGGCCTCAGGTGTGTGTGAGAGCAGACTCCGTATTGTGCCCAGGAGCCACCAACAGCGCGGCATCAGCCGTCTTCTGTTAAATGTGGGCAGCATCAGAACCCAGAACCTCAGCCGTGGAAGAGACATCCTCCAAACACTCCCATCAGAAGCACCAACCGTCCCTCTGCAGGCCCTGCCTGGCATGCTCACCGCCAGGTCCAGGGAAGGGGCCCTCAAATCCTCGGAGGACAGTTCGGATCCCTCTCCAGGTGGCACTGCCATGAGAGCTTACCCTTAGTCTCTCATACTCTTTCCCTGCCCCCCCCCCCCCATTTTTTTTCCTCTCAGATATATTTTTATTGATTTCGGAGAGGGAGATAGAAATATCAGGGATGAGAGAGAATCACTGATCAGCTGCCTCCTGCACACCCCACACTGGGGATCGAGCCCGCAACCTGGACATGTGTCCTGTCAGATAATCAAACCGTGACCTCCTGGTTCATAGGTCGATGCTCAATCCCTGAGCCACACTGGCTGGGCACCCTTTCCCCTCTTGACTCTTTACACCTATTGTTCTCACAGGCTTTTCTCCGGTTAAAAAATTTCCCCCCCAACAAAGGAGCCCTGTTGGAAGACAATTTTCAAATTCATATCTTTCCCTCAAACTGAATACTGTGGTTCCTTCACTGCTCCCAACGGGTACCTGGGCCCTGTCTGCTGAGCTTGTTCTGACTTCTTATCCCCTCGTGGAGCACATCCAGAACCGCAGCACATCCCAGGTGTCATCCAACCTGTGCGGAGAGGGCGAGCTGATCCCTTCTCTGTTCTAGCGGGAGCGCTGACCCTCAGAGCAATGACATCCCTGCCCAGGCAGCGAGTCTCCGGAAACAGGGCGGCAGTCAGGACTGGGGCTACGGCCCCACCCTTGGCCTTATCCTCTCCTACCCAGGCAGGAAGTGAGGGGACTGGGCCCCATCCCTCAAGCCCCCACCCAGCTGACCCACCACAACAGGAATGACGAGATTGCCGGAAGCTGAGGACACAGTTCATGAGACAGGAGATGAGAAAAGTGATGATCAGCGACGTTTACAAAAAAATGTTTTTACAGTCTCCACTATTGAGAGGCCTTAACTGCCTTTTAAATAAAATGTGAATGTTGTATAAATGATACGCACTTGTTTTAAATCACTTAAACAAATCACTTCCAATGTCTGGGTACCAGCACATCTGGGTACCAGCCGTGCTCCGTGAGCACGGGCCCCACCTCGGCGGGGTGAGGAGAGGCTTAGCAGGGCCTTCTCCTGCCCCAGGCCATCGTGGGCTTCAGCCACCTCAGGGCTGGCCCGCGAGGGAGGTGGGGGAGGGACGGAGGGGTTATTTTTACTTATTTAAGCTTCTCTAAGACCAGGATGCCAGAGCTCGGGCGGCAGCCTCCTATCTGGTTTTAGGCAGGGACACATGGACACTACAAATAGCCTGAAAGCCCCTTCTGCTCCGAGTAACCGGAGAGCGGGGCACATTCCCTGCAGGGCAAGCAGGAGCCTCGGGCCGCACGTCTGGCTCCACGGGGGAGGAGGGGAAGAGGGTGCGGAGGGTCAAGTACCCATAAAAGGGGCTGGCCCTCCGCTTTCCAAGTCCTGAACACCTGTCCGACAGAACGGGCTCGTCTTGCTGTCAACACCGCATCCGTTCACACAGATTAGGCCACGAGGAATCTCTGGGACTGTAAATTATTGGGGGGGGGGGGGGGAGAAGCACAAGCCACCTTTGCTCCACAGGCCCTGAGGCATCTCTGTGCTTTAAAAAAAAATAATAATAATAAAATAAAATAAAATAAAATATATATATTTTGTATTGATTTCAGAGAGGAAGGGAGGGAGGGAGAGATAGATAGATAGATAGATAGATAGATAGATAGATAGATAGATAGATAGAAAGAAAGAAATATCAATGCTGGGAGAGAATCACCCATTGGCTGCATTTTGCACACTCCCTACTGGGGATCCAACCCACAACCCGGGCATGCACTCTGACCAGGAATCAAACTTTGACCTCGTGGTTCATAGGTCAACAGTCAGCCACTAAGCCACACCGGCTGGATGGGTCTCTGTGCTTTGAAGGAACTTGCCCACAGGAGGATCTGGAAACGTTTCCTTCCTGTTGTGAGGTGGCCCCAGTGTTGGGAGGCCCATTCCTGTCCTCTTCGCCCTTCCAAAGGCTGTAACTTCATCAGAGCCCGGCTCCCCTCCTCCCACACTGCCCGCTCCTAAACCGCCTTGCTCAGCTCCGTCCCACGGCCGGTACGGCTCTTGGCGGCTTCCGGCAGCCCCGCACGCCTGCTTGGCTTCGGTGTCAAGCCTCAGGAATACAGGGTAAGACACTGGTAGATGGCTCTCCGAGCAGGTGTCCCTGTGCTTTCGCTCCATCTCCTCTAACCAGCCAGGACACGGGGGGACCAGGCTGCTGTCCGCCCCAGCGCCTCGGACAGCCAGGCCCACCTCCCAAGCCCTCTGCAGTGAGTGCCCTCAGATAATCTGGATGACTCACGAGGGGAGGCCCCTTCCCAGACTCCGAGCAAGCTCCCTGCACACAGGCACTCCGGCCCCCTCGAGTCAGCGGAAAAACAAGAATGCGTTTCAGGGGCCTGGCAGATCACCCTCCTCTCCCCAGCCAGGAGCAGACTCAGGCTGCAGGGAGGCAGGGCCAAGCTTCTTACCCCCACTGTCTGCTCTGGGGAGGAGGGAGGCAACCCCTGGAGCAGCCTCCGCCACTGCTCCCCCGGGCTGGGGACAGCAGAACCATGTGTGTGGAGTCTGGAGGTTGCTGGCTCAAACCTCATGCTGGGGAAGCACAACCACCAAGCGCTCCGGCTCTGGCTGCCAAGGGAAGCTGTGCTCCCAGCAAGCCCGGGTGCAGAGCCGCCCCCTCCCCGCCACCCCTACCCCGTGGCCCAGGGCCTCCCTCTCCTCGTCACAGGCCCAGGGCTGAGGGGAACCAAGGCAGCCGGGGCATGAGCTGGCAGCGCCTGGCCCACTGGACCTGACGGAGGACTCCGTGACGCCGCCCGGCCCTGCAGACTCTGGCGGCCCGGTTTCTGAAGGTCCCATAGCCGGGCTCCGGGCAGCTGGGCCCCATCCCGGGGAGGCGCCCCTCCCCAACCCCATGCACTTGGCTCTCCTTCCCCGTGGTCTGGATCCAGTTGCATAACACGCTCCATCCGAAGCTGTTTCTGCAATTAGGATGACAGCTAATCCCGAGCAGCCAAGAAAGAGGAGGCTTTTAAAGTATACAAGGAGTTCTTATGACCCCGAGGGGCCGAGAGTCCAAGCGCGTCATCCGAGACAACACAACAGGGGCAGCACTCGTGTTCCAGCGGCGCGGGCCAGCAGCAGGGAGCCAGGCCTGAGCGCGGCCCCGGAGCCAGGGCTGCTGCTCGGAGAGGGGCCGCTGCCTCCGCCTGAGGCGACCCCTCAGGACCAAAGGCGGGTCCCGGCACCTGCCGGCCAGGCTTCGGTGGGTGTGGGGCCGGAAAGATAGGCCGGGAATGCAGTGAGGAGGTTGGGGTGAGGGCTCCTCCAACTCACCAAGCACAGGAGAGCACCTCCTAGATGCAGGCCCTCGGCACAGACCACAGAGCAGAGAGGGAGCCACTGTGGTGTGGGCAGGTGGGCGGCGGGGCAGGAGGGAGATGGGAACGTTCCTGCCAGGAAACTGCACTCTGGGAGGCCTTCCTTCCCTCAACGCCACCCCATCGGGCTCAGCACCAGGCGGTCCAAACTCGCTCGTCTGAGCCGGGTGCGGCTCCAGCTCCGGGGCCTCAGTGGAGGCAGCAGTGGCCGCCCTGCCCTGCCCTCTGCCTGTGCTCCCAAGAAGCAGCCCTGGCATGGCGGGCAGGAGGAGAGCAAGGGCAGAGGATTTGTCCCCCCAACTCCCTCCCTGCCAGGTCACTGTGAGCGGGTCAGAGCCACTGCCCCAAGCACAGCTCCCATCAGCCCGCCCTCCGCACAGCTATGCTCCCGGCTCCCTTCAGGCTGACCAGCCGAGGGCCCTGCGTGGCACCTGGCTCCCTCCCTTCCTCCCTCCCTCACTCCCGCACCCCTAGTGCGGAGTCCCTCACCCACTCAGTGTGCAGGCACCCCGCAGGACCCTGACAGACACATCCCGCTCCGCCGGCTCCTGGTGCTTTGGGGCTGCCCTCCCCCCTCCCCCCGACAATCACCAAACCCCCACTGGCTTCCCAAGCGCCTCCTGACCCCAGAACTGCTCCCCTATAAGTGGGTAGGGAGAAGGTAGACAGTGTTATATGAAACACCAGAATAATGTCTAGGGAAGCAACATCTACTTATTGGAGGCGTTTTTTAAATGTCCCCCAGGCAGACATTACTCAATTTCCTGCGGATCCGTCACAGCTGTGGCTCGCCCGGCCGCTGCGTCTTTCCACCAGCCCCGCGAGGCAGACTCAGTGCTCCGGCAGCGTCACCCCACTGCCCATCGTGCCCCGTCTCCCAGCCCGTCCGCCCGAGGCCAGCCGCCCAGCAAAAAGGGCAGGGGCGCCAAGAAGAGAGCTGGGGAGACCCCGGCAGATCCCCACCTCCAGGACTCAGTCTCCCCATCTCTCCAGGGGAGAGCAGGCTGGAAGGCCTCCAGGTCCTCGGCTCTGCGCCGGCCGCCCCCTATCCTGCCGGCCCCTGAGGGCCACCCATGCAGTCGTCCTCGGGCTCCGGGACCGGGCCAGGCTGGGAGCCCGTGGGACCGCCATCTACTCACTCGGCCATGGTGAAGGCCAGCTCGAAGTTCTTCTGCCGCTGCGTGGGGCTCAGGGCGCCGTAGTCGAAGGCGTCGGGGAAGAAAGAGTGCACCAGGGCGCAGAAGGCCATGCCGTCGCTCCAGCTGGAGGAGAAGTTCTGCAGGTCCACGTGCTGCGAGCAAGGCGAGGTCCGTGCGGCCAGGTGAGGGGGGCGGTGACCCCGCCTCCGCTCCCTGCCCAATGCAACCCCATGGGCAGATTCCCCAGCCGCCCCCACCCCAAGGGCCAGCATCCACTCCGCTCAGCCACAGCCACCAGCTACAGTCACGGGACCTCACGCCACAGGGGGCGCTAGACCAATCTACACACCAGTCTAGATGGCGCCAGACACAGGACTCCTGGGATCTGCTAGGGACTGACCAGGGAGGCATCATTTCTCTAGCTCCTACCCCACACACACACACACCCCTACTGGGTTCTTACCCTGGCCAGGAAAACAGAAGCAAGGGGTGATACTTAGTCAAGCCCCTGGCCGGGCTCACCTGGTAGCCCAGAGTCTTGTTGCGACACCACTCGAGCAGGATCTGCTTGATGCTGCTGGCGCTGGCCACCCCGAAGCTCTGGGACCGCTTCAGCTTGGCCCGGGCCTCGCCTCTGCCCCTGCGGAGAGAGCGCAGGCCTGCCGTGGGGGCCGCCCCACAGCTGCCATTGCCACCGAGAAGCCGGGGAGTCCCCAGCCATCCCCACGTGGCCGGGAAGGTGGCCCCGCCTGCTCTGCTCACCCAGGGAGGCGCTCTGTCAGGACCTGGCCTCCCTCGCCCCTGTGTCCACGTCCAGGCGTGTGAACCCTGCGCACCAGCCACACAGCCGCCCCTGATGGTCTCTGAGAGGACCACCCCGCTTCCAGCCTCCAGATGCCCATCCTCCTTCTGAGCCTCCCTCTGAGAACCCCCACGCTGACGGCTCTTTCCTAACCTAGGACCGTTGCCTCTTCTGGGCCCCAAGGATACCCCCTAACAGCCGAGATGGGTTGTCTGGGCCCTGAGGACACCCCCTCCCTGGGTCCATCTCCCTCACTAGAGTCGGAGCCTCAGGAGCCAGCACTGGGGTCCAGTGGTCGTCACAGGCCTGGGCTGCCTGCCCCCTGCTCGCAGCAGGTGTCACCACCCCACACTGACAGGAGGGCCCGGTAAGTGTTCTACCAGGAGGGTTCCAGGCATGACGGCAGACGGGGGCTCTTGGGTCCTGGGTGTCACCTCCCAGCTCCTGCCGGGAATCCCAATGGACTTCCCTCCCGGCCTCTGGTCTCTCGCAGAAACCAAAGGGTCTACGACTCACAAGGAACTTGGGCGTGAGGACAGCCCAGGGGGGGGGGGGGGGGGCCTGGGAACTGGGCAGAGAGGAGGACTCTCATCAGGCCTTGCCCGGCTCCCAGGCTCTGAGCTTGTGTCTTCCCCACGAGGTCACCCCTTAGGGGAGGACCCCAGGGAACAGCTCGGGGCCAGCAGTCCTGCCTGTGCCTAGTGGGAGCCCCGGCGGCGCATCCTGATCCGAGGACCAGTGTCCGTACTTGCCCACCGTGTCCTGCTCCCACTTCTCAAACAAAGCCTTCCGGGCCTGCGCGCTGGAGGTCCGGGGCAGCGTCTGCGACCTCACCAGCTCCCGGCGATGGGCCTGAGCGGCGGCCGGCGGCTGCGGGGACGGGGGCGACTGGGGCGGCGTCACCAGAGGGGGGCTGAGGAGAGAACCAGGAGGCGTCACTGCCTCTCGCCATCACTAGCTCCCATTGCCAGCCGCCACCCACTCACCCAGGCCCGGGCTCCTCCTCCCCCTGAGAGTGAGAGGAGGCAGAAATGGGGGCTTGGGGGCAGGCAGGAGGAGGCCAGCGCCACCTGCTCCAGGCCTGACCGGTTGGGCAGGTTTTCTGTCTGAAGCAGCAGGGAGAAGGGCCCCTCACTGGGTGAGGGTGTCAATGCCCAAGGCAGGCAGGGACACCCTTTCTGAGAGGCAGGAGGTGCGCTCAGAGCCACACTCCCCTCCTCCACCGCCACTCGATAAGACCCCCTTTTGTTTTCCCCCTGGAACAGTCTGCCAGAAAGTCACAATTCCTTCATTATTAAAAGAAAAAGGAAAGCCCAGCCAGTTCCCCATCCCCATCTCCAATCGCAGCCCAGCCGGCCTGGGGTGGACACGGGGACACCCGCAGAGCAGGCAGGGGGAGGCCTGGACCACAGCCTAGGGCCTCTCCAGGTACCTTCCCAGGCCAGGGCAGGCAGCAGCCGCTCTGAGGGACGCTGGCCAGGTTGGGTGGATGAAGAGGAGAGTGGGGATCCCTCTACCCTCCTTCCCCCAAGCGAATGGAGACACCCCTCCAACCTTCCAACAGACTTGCCTTGAAGGGTCCATAGAAAAGCCGGCCTGCGGCCATATTTCTCTAAACAAAACTCTCCACCCAACGCCACTGCCTCCCTTTCCCTGCTCTGACCCGACCCAGCATCCCGGCTGCCTCGGTTCTCCGGAGGCCACAAGCCCAGGAGGGTGCCCTCCCCTGGAGGCAGCACAGGGAGCTCCCTGCAGGTGGTCTGGGCACCCTGGGTCCAAGGCAAAACCCAGATGACACCTAGGGAGCAATGACCCCCCCACCAGGAACACGGGCCCCAACTCACCTGTCATTGCTTCTGCCTGCTGTCACGGCCCCATAGCAAGAGCCCAGCAAGGGCCGTGGGAGAGGAGAATTCTTCTCTGCGGGACAAAGGGAGGGAGAGAAACAACAAACCCTGGTCTCACAGAGAGCCCACCCCTCCTGCCTCCCTCTGACCTGGCCCTGCACTGTTCACCCAGCGTCCCTCCGAGGACGCGTAAGACCCCTGAGCTGAGCTGGCCCCACCTCAGCCAACCGTTGTGAAGAAAGAAAATTGGGAACAAAGAGCAATGACGTAAAAGGTCTTTTGAGACCACGGGGCCCAGGGCCGCCCGTGCTGTGCATCCAGCGAACCCTCACTTTGGAGGCCCATACGGGCCCACCCCAAGTCTGCCACCGAGACCTGACCACAGACCCAAGTCAGGCCTGGGTCTGACTATGCCAACAAGGCCGCCTTCTAACCACAGCCTCCACCTGTAAGAAAAGCATGGTAATCACCTGCCAAGGCCGCTGCTGTTTCATGGCGGCTCTGGGAGAGGATTCTGGGAAGGATGGAGGATGCAGATGGGCTAAAGAAGGGAGTGTCGCCAAAACCGGTTTGGCTCCATGGATAGAGCCTCGGCCTGCAGACTGAAAGGTCCCAGGTTCTATTTCGGTCAAGGGCACATTCCCAGTGGGAGGTGTGCAGGAGGCAGCTGATGGATGCTTCTCTCTCATCAATGTTTCTAACTCTCTATCCCTCTCCCTTCCTCTCTGTAAAAAATCAATAAAATATATTTAATTTAAAAAAAAAAGAAAGAAAGGAGTGTCAGGCTGGGGAGCTGGGGCTTGAGCCCAGATTTTCTGAGTCTATGGCTAGACAACCCCAGCCCCTCCCCACCCTCCCAGACCAGAGTTGGGGTCTCCCCTGTTCCTACCACTGGGACTTAGAGTCCAGGGGGGGGTGGCCTCACTGGGGCTCGAGCTGAGGCCCCCCAGGATGGCAGCAGACGTGGGCGAGAGAGCGGTGGCTGAAGTCTCTCCAGAGAACCTCTCGGAGACCCGCATGACGGCCGTGACTGGCTGGTGAGGCAGCCCCAAGGAGAGGCTCATGGGGCGAGGCTTGGGGGGCTCTGGTGCCCGGAAGGTCTGGGTGGCCTCAGGGGGTCCATCACCTGGACCTGCAACATGTGACAAGAGGGGGGTGATAAGAGGAGTCAGCCAGGCATCCACTGGGGCCTCAGGCTCCAGCCTCCCGAACCCTCTCCCCGCCTCCTCCGAGAAGGCCTCCCTGACCACTCCAGCCTCCCTGACCTCCCGCGAATGGGGACTTTTCACTGCTCCAACCAGAGTCCACATCGGGTCCAACTTCCCCTCACAGACAGGTCAATGGACACTAGGTGGCCTGTCAGCCCACTCTCTCCCCTGCTCAGACCCGGACACTCCCTCCGCCCCTGCTGGCATTCCTCCAGAAACAGGAGATCTCCCATGTCCCTTGGTGCTGAAACCTCCTTCTCTCTGAGTGAGGCTGCTCTCCTGGCAGCCTCTCCATGTGTTAGGGTTGATGCTCAGGTCCCCCCACCCAGCCAAGGGGTGGCCTGGCACAGATGCACGGCTGCCAAGGCCCTGACCCCAGAGCTGCCCGTCCTCTGCAGCCCGCCCCTACCTGCCCCTGGCTGGTGCCCGTTCTCAATGACGCTCTGGGTGGAGGACCTTCTCATCTCCGACTCGCTGGCTTCATCCACGCTCTGCGGAGACACAAACACAGCCAAGGCCCCGTCGTCAGCCCTGGCCGCCACCCTCCCAAAATCGCTCCCAAAGCCCTCCTGATTCTGGCGGAGCAGACGGCATTCATACGTGAGAGCCCAAGCCCACAGGACATACCACGATGGGCCGAAGATACACAGCAAGCGGGGGCAAACCCAGCCCCAGCTGCTGAGCCCCTGGGATCCTGCTGCGAGGCAAACGCCACCTCCATTGGCCTCACCTCAGAACCCCAAAATGCTAGGGACAAAGGTCAAGATGGAGAGGGTTCCAAAGAAGTGTGCACGACGGCCCCACCCCTATCCCGGCCTAGACCAGGTGACTGGGCGAGGAGAGTGTGGCTCTGGCTCATCCCAGCGGGGCAGGCTGGCCTGGCTGCCTGTGTGGGAGCAGCTGCAATGCAGACACACACATAAGCTTCTTCTGGGCCCACAGCGGGCGCCGGAGCCCGCCTGCCGCGGCCTCTGCATTGATACAGGGTCACGAATTCACCCACACGTCCAGGGCACGGGGCCTGACTGGCTACACACCGCAGAAGCGGGGGAGGGGTGCCGAGAGCCGGCGGGAGTGCCTGGCATCCTGGCTGGGCTGCCAACCACCAGGTGACCCGGGTGAGGTCATGCCCCCGGAGTCTGTCTGTTTGTTTGAAATATGGACGTGGGCGATGCACGTGCCACTTGAGTGCCAGGCCCTTTATCTGGGCATGCCGCCGATGCCAGCTTGCTCTGCCCTCCCAGGTTAGGTGCTACCAGCCCCGCTTTACAGATGGGCGATGAGGGCTCCGACAGGCGGTGTACACGTGAGAAAGAGCGGAAGGTGATCAGCTCCGTGTCCCAGGGACATCCTTCAGAAGCCGGAAGGGAGTGGCATGGAAGGCCAGCCACCTCACTAGTCCCAGATGGGGGGACATGAGGAGGGGTGACGGGACAGGGGGAGAGCCAAGAGCAAGAAGGACTCGGGGCTTTGGGGAGAGTGAGGACGTGGAGAGACGAGTAGATGCCACGCCTCCGCCACGCCCAGGCTTCGGGTGTGAGAGATGTGGCTAGGAAGGGTGGGGACACGGGGACTTCAGTTTGGGGCGTGATAGAGTAAGGCGCTCGAGGCATCAGGGAGGTGAGGTCAGGAAGTAGCTGGGTATTTGAGTGTGAAGTTTAGCAGGAAGGACGGACAGACAATGAAGAAGCTGGGGTCTCACATCCAGGGCCCGGGGCACCCCATTCCGGGGGCAGAGAGACGTCTGAGAGTGAGAAGGCACGGGCCGGCAGGTGGGAGGAGGACCGGAAGAATGCTGGGAAAGGCGGGTGGAAGTGTGTCAAGCAGTCAGGCGAGTCTGCGGCATGCAAAGGCGGCCTGAGGTCCAGGAAAAGAAGCTCAAGATGAGCCGAGACCGGTTTGGCTCAGTGGATAGAGCGTCGGTCTGCGGATGGAAAGGTCCCGGGTTCGATTCTGGTCAAGGGCATGTACCTTGGTTGCGGGCACATCCACAGTGGGGGGGGGGAGGGTGCAGGAGGCAGCTGGTCGATGATTCTCTCTCATCGATGTTTCTGACTCTCTATCCCTCTCTCTTCCTCTCTGTAAAAAATCAATAAAATATATTTAAAAAAAAAAAAAAAAGGTCAAGATGAGCTCTAAAAAGTGTCCATTGGGTTTAGCAAAAAAGAGGTCACTGGGACGGTTAGAGGTGGGGGCAGGGCACAGGAGATGGCCTGGGGGAGAGGCTGGGGAGACGCAGAGACCACAAGGTAAGTTTAGCCCTGAGGGGAGAGGAGCGAAGGGGTTTGGGGGGGAGTCTTTCAGATAGAAGGGGTAGGGCACCATGTATAGGCGGAGAGAAAGGCTCCAGAAGACGAGGGGACCCTTTGCAGGGTGGGGGTCTCTGGGGAAGTGAGAGAGGACAGGACTCAAGAGCCTGGCCTTGGAGAGAAGGTGACCCTCAACTTCTGATTCAGGAGGACAGAGGGGAGGGGCCAGGCCTACTCCAAGGAACAATAGAGAAGGTGGGGGCGCCTCTCCTGGCAGTCTAGCATGGGGAGGGCACCCCTAGAGCCACGCCATTGCTAACTGGAAGCCAGCTCAGCAGAAAGTGGAGAAACAGCCAGTCCCTCCTGAGCTCCAGCCCCCACCTGTCTCCAGGTTCCACCCAGCTCTGGGGTCTCCGTGTCCCCTCAGCCACCTCGCTCTGGCCCAGCAGGTTCCACAGGTCCAGGCAGGGACTTGAAGGGACAGGCTGATGATGAAACCACTTTCCCAAGAAGGTGGGTCTCTATTGGGAGGGGGGTGGGGGGAGGCATAGCCACCTGCCCCTGCACGTTGCAGGCCCACACCCCACGATGCCCCAGGGGACCAGATGTCACAACCAGACAGGAAGGTGGTTCTGAACCAGCCGGATTCCTGCCAAGGGGTCTCAGCAAAGCGGAGGGAAAAGGGGTCGGGCGAACTCATGCTGGCAGGACCCGCGGCAGCTGCTCCTAGCTCCCCACCCGTGACGGGAGCCACTCCTCACCCAGGGAAAGGGCTCTGCCCACGTCTCAAGCCGAGGGTGGAGGAGGTCACCCCTAACTTCAAGCCTGGGCTAAAGGCTTCTGCTCAGTCAAGGTTTGGGACTCATGTCTCCTACCTTATCCCAGGGCTCTACACAAAGTACTCTGGCCTTCGGAGGACACTCAAGACAAATCTGTCTCCCGCCCCAGCCGGTTTGGCTCAGTGGATAGAGCGTCAGCCTACAGACTGAAGGGTCCCGGGTTCGATTCCGGTCAAGGGCATGTACCTTGGTTGCGGGCTCATCCCCAGTAGGGGGTGTTCAGGAGGCGGCTGATGGATGTTTCTCTCTCCTCGATGTTTCTAACGCTCTATCCATCTCCCTTCTTCTTTGTAAAATATCAATAAAATATAAAATAAAATAAAAAAGACAAACCTTCCTCCCAGGACCTTGGGCAGGGACAGCCATTTGCATCAGGTGAGGGGGAGCAAACGTGGGAGTGGGGTAAGTACCCTAGCAGGACCTGAGCCCTTAAGCCAAGGAGCAGAGCAAGGCTGGAGCCAAGGCAACCAATCATGTGCCTCTCTCACATCGATGTTTCTCTCTCTCTCCCTCCCTCCTACCTCCACTCCACTCTCTCTCTCAAAAAAAAAAAAAAAAAAAAAAAAAAAAAAAAAATCAATGGGAAAAATATCCTTGGGTGAGGATTATTTTTAAAAGGGGAGGCTCCCACACAGGGCCTGGAAATGTTAAAGGCATAGGAGGGATTCGATAAGTCTGATTTCAGACACTCTCTCTGGGGACGTTTTAAACACTTTCGTGAAAGCAGGAACCGTATCTCAGGCACTCTCGGTGCTGTGTGATCCCACACAGGCCCATGTGTGGACACGGGAGCCCATACATGAGCCCATGCGTATGTCCAGCAGCCCAGGCGGCCAGAACCGCCATTCTAAGCCGTGAACTCGGCTGCCTGCTCTCCTCCTCGTTCACACCATGGCTTTAAAGACTCAACTCAAACTTCTCCCCAAAGCATTTAACTCCCTTATCACACAGTGTGTCTGGGAAAGGAAGGCAGATAAGGCGAGTCTGGTTTCTTTCATGATCGGCCTGACACCTCGCTCCTGGCAGTGGTTCCTACAGGACTCCACCACCTCGGCCATCGGGACCCAGCGGCTCCAGCTCAGCCGAGAGGGCATTTCCAAGGGAACAACTGCGGCCTGGCCTCCAGCCTGGCCTCGGGCCGCTGCCATCCACCGAGGCCCCCCGCCGGCTCCCTTCATCCACCGGGTCACAGCTGTGGCTCCACAGACACTTTTGTGAGCAGTTTGGGCCGATGCCCGTTATAATCACCCACCCTGCTCAGTACGAGAGGCCCAGTGGGGCTGGGACATGCCCCCTGGTTTAGATACAAGGAAACTGAGGTCTAATGGGGAGGAGGTGCCCTCAAGGGCTCAGCAAATGCCCCCACACCAGCTCCATCTGCTCCAGGGACTCAGGCCTCCCGCATGGAGTCCTCCCTGGTGACTCCTACCCCCTGACCTGCCCCCTCCCCTGTCCTGGAGCCTCCCTGGCTGCTTTTCTGTGTCTCCTCACGACCTGGCTCCCATCAGATCTCTGTAAGCCTGAGGAGCAAGGTCCTAGCAAGGTCAGGGTTTCCGCACCCAGAGTTCAGGGCACATTTACATGCTGAATTTGACCCACTTCCAACCCCTGCAGACCCCGTTTTAAAACAGCAGGATGGCCCTACCAGGTTTGGCTCAGTGGATAGAGCGCCGGCCTGCGGACTGAAGGGACCCAGGTTCGATTCCGATCAAGGGCATGTACCTTGGTTGCGGGCACATCCCCAGTAGGGGGTGTGCAGGAGGTAGCTGATCGATGTTTCTAACTCTCTATCCCTCTCTGTTCCTCTCTGTAAAAAAGTCAATAAAATATATTTATTTAAAACAACAACAACAAAAACCACAGCAGGATGACACCAATCTCATTGCTGTCACAGATGGGCAGCACAGCACAGCCTCCACAATGTCTGGCCACAGCCACCACCGGCCAGTGTGCGAATGCGACCCTCACACCCAGAACTCCCCTGGGACAGAGACACAGATATGGGGGGAGAGAGAGAGAGAGAGAGAGAGAGAGAGAGAGAGAGAGAGAGAGAGACAGAGAACAGCAGCCCCTGCATCCAGCCATGACCCGGGAGCCTGAGTCGGGGCTTCTGAGAGGTGGGCTGGGAGAGAAGGGCACCAGCGCTCCTAGTCAGGTGGGGGAAGCTGCCTCAGGCCCAGGGAGCCAGGCTCGGGGGCTGCAGAGCCTCTGACCCCACCGGAGACCCTGGCTATCGTCTGCCCCTACTCAGCTATGCTTGCTGTTCCGCCTCGTCCCACGCCTCCCTGAGGTCCACAACCGACTCCCAAACCGCGTCTCCATCCTCTTCCCCCGCTGCAGCAGCTTCCCTGCTGACCCCAACCGTGGAGAAGGCTCCCCCCTCTCCATCTCTAAGGGTGGGCTCTTCAGGGCCTCCGACTCCCTGGCAGCTCCATGCACAAGGACGGCGTGTGGCCCCGAGGCCCTGTGCCTGGCCCCCCTCCCCACCCTTCACCCCGGGGCTCACTGTGGCCACGCTGCAGCGTGACAGACAGTGGATGCAGGCAGCGCTGGATACAGGCAGAGCCTCTGCCCGGGGCTCCTGCCCACCTCCTCCTTCTGCACAACTGAAGACTTCAACTACCAGCTCTGTCCCGACCTCTCCCCAACCAGCTCTGCCCTGCATCTCCCCAGCTGGCGGCCTTGACCACTCTCAGTGCAATAGATGGGTGACTCTACCTGCTCCGGGACAGCTTCGCCCAGGGTGTCCACAGCCCCTCGCACTCAGCACAACCCAAACGGAGCCGAGCATCCCCGCCAGATACGTGACCCAGGCGTTCCCCCCGCAGAGCGCCTCCCTCTGCCTCTCTACGCACGTCCAGACGCTCCACCTTGCTGGTTCTCCCTCTTCCATCCCTCTCCGAGGCGACCCCAGCTTTCCATCGGCCCACCACGGCCCCAGCTATGGCTGACCTCTCTCCTTGGACCACCATCATTAAGTCAGCCTGTCTCCAGCGGCCCTCCAGCCCGCCACCCACCCTTGAGGGAGCTGCCAGATCCGAGGAGGACCCTGTTCCTCCCCTGCCCAGCGCCCCTCACCCACCATCCCCCTATAACCCAGAAGACTCATTCACCTTAGATGATCATGGCCAACTCCCACTGAAAAAAAAAAAAAAAAAAAAAAAGCTGACGACTGGAGAGAATGCGCTCACGTATGTGCGTGTGTGCATGTACATATACATGTTCATACATATATGGCTCTGGGAGTATTTTTGTTAAAACCTGCGCAGCTGCTTCCACGAGCAGGTAAGTAGCACATGCGTGTTCAAATGAACCCTCAGAAACGGCGGATGACACAGTGTCCCGGGCACACAGGAGCTCACTGTGGTGACTCTACTATGGATATGTAGTGTGTCGTGCTCAGACGACAGGATCAAATGTACCCATATTTCCAGACACTTCATCGGGATCCCTGGGACACCGAGGACTCTGCCACCAGCACATGTGTGAGGACCTCTCATGGCCCAGGGACAAAGCCCAGGTCCCTTGCCCGGCATCCAGGGGGCCTTCACAGCCTGGCTCCCCCACTCCCCAACTCTCACAGCCACCAGGCTCCCCTCTGGCCAGAGAGTCCTTGCGATTTCTGGAGGATGCCTGCACGGCCCCCCACCGTACCCCCATCCGCACCAGCAGCAGCAAGCCCTGAGCCTGCAGCCCAAAGCCTTCCTGGGACACGCACGGGAAGGGATGGTTGCCTTTGGAGCACACCTGCTCTGGCCGCCTGCACTGTTGGTACTGCTCTATCTGGGGCCATCTCCCACCCAGGGTGGGACCTGCAGGGCCAAGGGCTAATCTGATCCCCAACCCCCGGCCCCCCAGGAGACCTGAGTGCCTGAAGGACTGACCCAGGGGCGGCAGGTGCAGACCACTCACACCCAGACCCTGGGAACCCAAGCCAAGAGCACATGTCCTCTTGCAGAGTGGAAAGTCTCACCTGAGGGCCGCTGCACAGCCTGTGGAGGCGTCCTAACCGGCCCCCCCAGGCCCCATGCCCAGGGCAGTGACCGGGCCACACCAGCGGCCTCCGCCCCACCCCCACTCGGTGTGGGCCCCTGGCCAGTGGCTGAGCTCAGGAATCTAGACGCTGCTCCAGGCCGGTTTCTCCATCCATCCCTTCACGGTAAAGGGATTTGCCCCCTGCAGTGCGAGCTCCAAAGCACGCCTGCCTGGCTGCACCTGACCAGACTGCGTCCTCCCCTCCCCCAACGGGGGAGCCTTCGTTCTCCATCTGGTTAATCAATAACCACCGGAACCGTCAGGCCTCAGTGAAACGGCATCGCTGGGGCGCGTGAATGGAGGTGGGGGAGTCCGGGGTGCTGACCATTCATTCCAACGCGCGGGCGGGGCCCTGGGCCGTGCAGATCGGTCCGGGGCCGGACCTGGGCGTCCAACCCCGGGCGTCCAACCCCTTATTGTCACAGGACAGACAGCGCGGAGAGAGAGAGATAAAACTTAGGGCAAACAAGGCCCGGCTCCCCAGAAGGGAGGGGGCCAAGATAGTGCTCCTCGGCTTTCTCCAAACCCGAAATGGGGCCGGACCCCCCACTACCAAGTCCTCGTCGCGGCGAGTGGAGGCACAGCCCCCCAAACCCAGCGGATGTACACACGCGGGGCAGCAGCGGCACCTGCGGACCCCAGCTCCCCGGCGCCCGCGCTCCCCGGGGCTCACCTGGCCACGGCCCGAAATGGAGAAGGTGGCGTGGCTGGCGAAGCGCGCGGAGCCCAGGCGGGGCGCGTGGTCCGGGGCGCCGGGCGCCGCCGGCGGAGGGCTGGGCGTGCCCGGGGTGCCCGGCGCCGCGGGAGACAGCCCGGTCGCCAAGCCCAGCGCCTCCACCTGGCGCGTCAGGCGCTCGAGCTGCGCCTGCAGCCGCTGGTTGTCGCGCTGCAGCTCGGCCACGGTGCGCGCCAGCGGCCCGGCCAGGCGCAGCGCCTCGGCCACGCGCCGCTCCACGCCGCGCTGCAGCCCCTGCATGTCCTCGTGCAGCGCGCGCACCGCGCCCTCCAGCGCCGCCTCGTAGCGGCCCAGCGCCTCGCGCACCGCCTGCGCCTCCGCGGCCTCGGGGGCCGGCTCCATGGCCGAGCGGGGAGCCGAGCGGGGAGCGCGGGGCCGGGAACGAACCTTGCAGCGAGCGAGAGAGGCCAGGCTCCTCCGCAGCGCCCGGCCGCGAGTGGGGCCGGGGAGCTGGGCTCGCCCGAGGGGCGGTGGGCGGGGCGGCGGAGGGCGGGGCGGGTCCCCGGAGCCCCGGGACTGGGCGCCGCGGGGGGCGGGGCCTCGGGGGCGGGGCCTCTGCCGACTCCCGGCCGCCCCCTGCCCTGGAGACCCGCGGGTGCTGCGGGTGGAGGACCCCTGGGTGCCTCTGGGGGTCTTCGCCGCTCCTCCTGTGCGAGTCCCGGGCACTGAGTCGAGTCCGAGCCCCGACCCCCACCCCGGAGGAGCGGCGTGCGGCCTGGGAGAGGGGGCTGCGGGCCCACCCGGAGAAAAGGTCTCGTCCTCCCAAGTGAGCTTTACTTTGGAGACCACAAACGGGGGAGGGGGGTGTTACCAGGGGGGTATGTTTTCCCTAGGCATTCTCACCCCAGGTCGGGGTCCTACTGGGGCGGGAACTTTTCCCCCTCTGCCCTCCCTCCCGTCCCCCCACCCCCCACCCCACCCCCGAGAGACTTGAGAGGAGCAGATCCCAGAACTGCCCCCTGACCCTCACCCTGTGCGGGGCACTGCCCTCTTTACTGCATGGGCACGGCTCTCAGGAGCACGTCCTCACCGGTGGGGCCGTGGCCTGGATTGTTTTGCACCTGTTATAAGACCTAAGAAAGGAAAGGACAAGTGGTGAGGTTTGCTCGCTGTCTCTCCCCGCCCAGCCACACTCCCTGTAGCACGATCTTAGTGCCATTCTGCCACGGGTCAGTAGGGGCTCCAGGCTCATCAAGGGGCTGGGGTTAGAGGTCAGAAGTGGCTCAAGTCAGACAGAAGGGAAGCGTGAGCCTAGGGCCTGCTCTCCAAATCCCGGGATGGGCAGCTGTGAGGATGCCTAGGGGAAGCATAACCACCCCTCCCTCCATCCATGTCTCCGTCACTGACCTCCATCCACAGGCCAGGCTCCTCCCTCTATGCCCTCTCAATGCCCCTGTTACACCTGAACCCAGATACAGCTCACTTTAGGGTGGTGAGCACAGATAATGTAAATGTCCATGTATACCGTATTGTAAAACTGATTTCAGCTGTAAGTGGGCACATAACATCCTTGTCCGTGCACAACACCTTTCCTGGTTCGCCTTCTCCTCCTCAGCCTGGGCCACCAGATGACCGCAGGGACGAGAGAGCTGAGAGGCCCGTTCCTGTTGCATTTGGCTCCCAAAGATGTTTGGAGCCACGGACCTCCTGGTCTGGCCTGCGTCACCCCAAAGGAGCTGGATCGGCCCAGCAGATGCTGAGTGCTGCTCCCCCTTCCCCCTCCGCCATGGGGACAGGAAGGAACGCCGGGTTACCTAATCCGAGCAGCCTTCCAGCAATTATTTCATGAGAAAGTCAAGTGCCAAAAGGCGTGCGTGTTGCATGTGTGTGTGTGTGTGTGTGTGCGCGTGTGTGTTCCAAATAGCTGTCTGGACAGGGTAAGCCAAACCGCTCCCTGCATTCTTTCCCTGGGTAGAATCTTTGATAGAGACCGTGAGAGACACTGCTGCCGCAGCTTCCACCCCAGATTGCTCTTGTAGCTCCTTCAAAGACTCCGGTCTCAGCCCCAAAAACCCAGTCCCTTTGCAGAACCCAGGGGAGGACTAGGTGGGCAAGTCTTAGGAGGCACTATCTGGCTTGACCTCTGGCCCCACAGCCAATGTGTGCCTGGGCCTGGGCCTGGGCCTGGGCTTGGGCCAGCAGCAGAGGTGTGTAGGGGGAAGTGGGGGGCTGGAGAGGAGTCCAGCCTTCTCTCCTGTTCTCCAGGGGAAGGAAGGCTGGCGGGGTGTCTGGGTTGGGAACCCTAAAAGCAGGAGAGAGGTGAGAAACTGGCTGCCCAGGACCCATCCACCCTCTCCCACCTCACAGAGGTTATCTGGCCTTCCGATCCACCGTGAGACTATCAACTAGTTAAGAGGGGCTGCTTGGGGGCGGGATTCTGTCGAGGGCAGAGATGGGGCTCCCTGTGGGTTCCAGGAAGGCAGACAGTCCAAGAGTCAAACCATCCTCCTTGGCTCCTCTCCCTCAGGAGTCAGACCACTGAGTCAGCGGGAGATGAGCCTAGGAGACAGAAGGAGATGAACTGGGAACGGGAAGAAGAGGGGCAGAGGGCCGAGGGGTGCAGAAGGGGACGACGCTGAGTGGAGGTGGGGCCTGAAGACCAGTGCCACCCAAGAGCTGGCTCCATGCCAGTGGAGAGAGGCAGTGAGGCCTCCAGCCCCCCTCTCCTCCCCCCGCCCCTCCTCCCGCTCAGCTCCTGCCTGGTACCAGGCTGGGAGGGAGGTGAGGGCTGATGAACCTGATGAACTCCCTCCACATTCACCAGCCCTGATGTCAGCAAGCCTGCGAGGCTGGCCTCCCACTGAGACCCGGGGGCTCTGGCGCCTGCCCTCCCAGCTCCCCCTCACCGTGCTCTGACCCCTCAGCCACTTGCTGGTCCCTGATTTGCTCTGGCTCTCAGGCTGGAGGCAGGAGGCAGGACAAGCCTTCCCGCGTTCCCCTGCCAGGCCCCTCATGAGATCAAATCCTTGCCAGGCCAAAACCATCAATGAGCTAGAGACATGGACCTGAGATGGGGAAACGAGGCCCTGAGAGGGACAGGGACTGGCCCCAGGACACACAGCAAGGCATACAAAGAACTGGACCCAGGACCTCGCCCCAGGTTTGAAACACTCCTTCCTGTGTGCAGTCCAGGAGCACCTCCCCAGGGCAGCAGTCAAATTCAGCCCCGTCTAGGCAGCTCCTGCCTGCTCTCAGGTTGGTTAGAGACTCCATTCCCCCGGAACTGCTCCTCAGAGGTCTCCAGTCCCCCACCCCGTGTCCTGCAGCAGTGGCCCCCAAGGACCACTCCCTCCTCCTCCTCTCCCTCCAGACTCTTCTCACCTTCTTGCTCTCTCCTCCCTAGGGACCTTTCTGAGTGGCTGTCCTTTCACTCATCCCTTAACATGGTGGTCCCCAGGGCTCTGACCTGGGCCTTTACCCTTTTCAGCTGCAGACCTTTGCCAGGGGGTGTCACCATGCTGATGACTCCCACTTCTCCACCTCTCGCCCAGCCCCTCTCCCTGTTCCACCCACCGCCAGCCTGCTACCCTGAAGGTCCCACCCAATCAATCCCCAGACTCCTCAGGTGCTGAGAAAGCACATAGGGAGAAGGAAAGGACATAGGAAGTGGGACAAGTTCAGTCCTTTGCCAGCCTCTGCCCACCTCCCGAGTACTGCCCTCAACCTCTGCACTGGGTCCATGTGCATGGGCGCAGTGCATACACACAGGTCATGCTCCTGTCAGACCCCATCCTTGGAGAGCAGGGGCTTCTGCCTCAGCTGTTCCTCTGTCCCCACACCTGGAGCAGCAATGGCTTTAGAAAGTGCTCAGTAAACATTGGATGATTGAAACCGGGAAAGGGGGACCATTGAAGAGCCAGTGGAACCAACAGGACTGCTGCAGGGATGGACAATGGGGAGAAAGGCGAAGATGGCTCCAAAATGCTGGCTTGGGGTTTGGCTCAGTGGATAGAGTGTCGGCCTGCAGACTGAAAGGTCCCAGGTTTGATTCGGTCAAGGGCATATACCTTGTTTGCAGGCACATCCCCAGTAGGAGGTGTGCAGGAGGCAGCTGATGGATGTTTCTCGCCCATCGATGTTTCTGACTCTCTATCCCTCTCCCTTCCTGTCTGTAAAAAATCAATACTATATATATATATATATATATATATATATATATATATATATTTTTTTTTTTTTTTTTTTTTTTAAATGCTGGCTTGGGTATCTGGAGGCACCGCATGGAGGTAACACTCACTAAGATGGTCACAGAGAGGGTGCATTGCAGGGCATGGGGAGCCATGGGGCATCCACAGATGCTACACAGAATCTGTCTCCAAGGTCTCGTCAGCCTTTGCACCGGGTCAAAGACGCTGCCGACCTCACTCCTCCAAGCCCCTCTACCAGGAAGGGCTCAGGTTGGAGCGTCGTAGTCCAGGTCAAATTCCTTATCTGTCAGGCTCTGATTGGCCCTACCACCCCCTCCATGCAGCCTTCAGCTTGCAGAGGCAGCAAAGGGGCCTAGTATCCAGGCTTCATAGCTGGCTTGACCCCTGACCCCACAGCCGATGTGCACCTGGGCGGGCCAGGGGTCCAGCCCGTTAACAAGGACTGCACAGAAAAGTACACCTCTGAACAGGACACCCTGGCGAACACACCCTCCCCCACTTCTCCTCCCAAATCCTGAAATCCAGCCTCTGCCCTGGAAACCGTTGCCATGTTGTGAGATCCATAGGGGTGGGGACACAGGGCCTGTATTTATCTTTTCCTGCCAGGTTGCTGGGCTCAGGAGCCAAAAGGAGTGCTAAGGAGGGAGCCAGGAGCTGCTCAGAAGCAGAAGCCCCAGGGCGGGCAAGTCCTGGAGCCCCCAGGCCTCATCACTAGGCCTTATGGGGCTTGCCCTCTGCCCCACAGCTCTGCGAGCAGAGCCCCTGGGGTCCATCTGGGAACCCTGAGACTCCTGCACCATAAGAAAGAAACTTCAACCCCTGGGTCATGCCAACTCCTCTCTACAAAACCCTTCTTTAAATTTCATCCCTCCAGCCCTAACTGGTTTGGCTCAGTAGATAGAGCACCGGCCTGCGGACTGAAGGGTCCCAGGTTTGGTTCTGGTCAAGGGCATGTACCTTGGTTGCGGGCACAACCCGGGGGGGGGGGGGGGGGGGGCAGGAGGCAGCTGATTAATGTTTCTCTTTCATCAATATCTCTGACTATCCCTTCCTTTCTGTAAAAAAAAATCGATAAAATATATTTTATAAATAAATAAATGTTATCCCTCCATCCCAGGGACACTGCCAAGCACACATGTAAACTTGTAATGTTCTTTTTCCCCTTATTTGAGGGTTTACCTGTGCATGAATCAT